CATTTCTTATGAGAGAAATAGCAGAGTACAAATTATTTGAAGGGAAAAATGAAAAAAATGGGGTAACTTTAATTAGGGAGTATGAGGAAAATAAATACAGAATATGGAAGGAAGAGGATACCATCTATAAGAATGATAAGAAAATGCATTCACTAGATTGACTTAGAGGCAGCCCACTATGGTTGGTGCCACCCTGGGCAGGTGGGTCTGGTGTATTTGAGAAAGCGAACTAAACCAGCCAAGAAGAGCAAGCCAATACAGTGCTCCCCCGTGCCTTCTGCTTCAGTTTCTGCCTGCAGGCTCCTGCCCTGACTTCCCTGGATGACGGATGACAAACTGTAAGAAGAAATAAATCCTTTCCTTCCCAAGCTGGTTTTGCACATGGAGTAAGAAGATATGTAACTTTACAAGAAGCCACAGTTAAGAAACATTCAACATTTTAAAGAAAATTTAACTTTTAAGTGCTGAAATCTTTAACTATCCTGGGACTTTTAAATGTATATATGTTATGTTAATATTAACATGAAATCTTGAAGATAAGCAAGAAAGGAAAGGCTAGCTATTTTTGTATCACAATGATGAGGAGTCCATTGTCCTGGTTGTTGTGTTTGATTGTTTGTCAACTTGACCCAAACTAGCGTTATCTGGAAAGATGAACCTCAGTTGAGAAAACGCTTTCATCAGATTTGATGTAGGGAAGTCTACAGGGCGCTTTCTTACTTAATGATAGCTATTGGAGGACCCAGCCCACTACAGCACTGGTGGCACCGGTGGATTGTATAAGAAAGCCAGCTGACTCCACAGCACCCACTTCAACCCTGGATTCCAGGTTCCTGCCCTGAGTTCCTGTCCCAGTTTCTTTTCAGGAATGACTGTAAGTCATAAGGTGAATAAACTGTGTGTTCCTCAAGTTCCTTGTGGTCATAGTGTTCCTCACAGAAACATAATCCTAACTAAGACAGTATCACTCAAACAAAAGTAATTTTGACAATATAAAATTTTCTATTCAAGCCAGTTATTAGATTGCTGATGGGAAGACACTTACTAGAACTTGATTTTTAATTAATTAAAATTGAAATACATTAATTTAATTAATTAAAATTAAATGTATCATTAAATATGATGTATTTAAATAATAATCTGGCTATTATTAAAGGGTATGAGATATCACCATTCCTTTTCTGTTACTGTAATAAAGTTCCCTGAAAAGAAATAGCTTCTGGGAAAATGATTTATTGAGGCTCACAGTTTCAGGGTGCAGTCCATCATCTCAGGGAAGTCAAGATGGCAGGAAATGAAAACAGATAATCACGCTACATCCTCAGTCCGTAGCAGAAAACAGCAGATGCATATATGCTTTGCTACGCCTGCTGTTTCCTCTCATATAGCCCCAGATCCTCTGCCTAGGCAACAGTGCCACCGACAAAGACACGGTGAGCATGTTTTCCCATTCCAGTTAATGTAATGGAGATAAAACCCCCTTAGACATGCCCACAGGCCAACCTAATCTAGATTAAAGACTTCATTGTTGGCTCCCTTCCTGGGTAAGTCTAAACCAGGTCAGGTTGGTAAACTATGCAGCACAAAGAGGTTTTCGGGAAAAGGAATCAGGATTCAGTCAATTTGGGTGTGATACTGGTTTTTAGCTTTCAATTTGAGAACTATCATATTTAAATTTAATAGTTCTTCTTATAAGGGTGACACAACACATCACACTGTACAGAAAAATATCATGGTCTCTATTCGCTAAATGCCAATGTCACCCATCCTCCCATGATCACAACTGGCATCAGTGTCTCCAGACCTCGGCAGATGTTGCTTCTTGTACAGTCTTCGTGAATGGGGCTACATTACAGCACCACCAAAGTAGAGTAGAAGCACACCTGCATTGAAGTTTGCTTACACATAGAAAACAAAAACAAGCAGCAAGAATCGCAGGCTGATCCAGAGATTCAACCTGGGGTGTTGAAAAGCTTCATATTGAATAATAAGTTAGCTTGCAGTCAGAGCAGCCAGGAAACCTAACCCTCAGGAAAGATCAGTAAAGAGAAATGAATCTACCCAGGACAAGGATAAGGTGATATTAGCATCACATGAGAAATAAGAATAAAAACATAAACAAAATTTGATGAGACAGTGTAGGCAGACTTGTCTTTGGGACAGAAGTTCACAAAAAAAAATGGCTTGAAGACATATTGGTAATTATAAAAGCTTGGCCTTAGCTTAGGCTTGTTCCTAACTAGTTCTTATAATTTACATTAACCCATATTTTTTAATCTATGTTCTTTTACATGGCTTGGTTACCTTTACTCTGTATTGCCCACCCTGCTCCCTTTGCATCCAGCTGAAGCACTCTCAGCCCAGAAGTCCCTGCTATACCTCCTGCTTAGCTATTAGCCATTTTGTTTTTTATTAAACCAATCACAGTGACACATCTTCACACAGTGTAAAGGAACATTCCGCAACAAGAAAGGTAAACTGTGAAAAAGAACTGGATAAAAATTCTAGAGCAGAAGCAGTAAATAAAATGTGAATAATTCAAGAGATGTACTTGATAGAAGGTCAAGCCATGGAGGGTGGAAGGCTCTGCTACCAAAATTCTCCAAAATTAAAAACAGAGGAAAAGAATTGGGACTAGAGAGCAAGATTTGTATGTGTATGGTAAAATCAGGAAGGATTCATGCTTCTTACAGTTGTAAATATATGAACATTCTTTTCACTATCCAGGTATAAAATATCATTCAAAATTTTTTTCTTAGTTTTTTTGAGCTCGCTCTGTAGACCAAGCTGACCACAAACTCACAGATATCCACCTGTCTCTACTTCCCAAGTGCTGAGGTAAAAAGTGTGTGCTACCATGCCTGAAATATTACTCAATTTTATTATACAGTTTATTTTTATTAGTTTACTTTCTGGCAGTCAGAGGCTAAATGTGTAACATCCTTGACTCTGTGTTTCATCTGGGCATTGGGTTTAGGGTGTGCATCCTCACACTCCTGACTGGTGGGCATCAGGAATAGAGTATGCATCTTCACACTCATGACTGGTGAGCATCAGGGATAGGGTTGCATCCTCACACTCCTTATTGGTGAGCATCGTGGATAGATTTGCATCTTCACACTCCTGACTGGCGGGCATCGGGGATAGGGTTGCATCCTCACTCTCCTCACGGCTATTTTCTGTAGCCATGACTCCATGCAGCCGTATTCATAGCAAGAGTATTTTTGTTGGCCATGGTTAGGTTACAGAAATGTCTGTTTTCTTTACAGCATCTTCTAATTGCATATCTAGTTCTTTTCTAATTTGAAAAGGAAAAATTATTTTATTATTTTTTAATGTGTGAAAAATGAATTTCATTATGGAATTTTCATATATATACATATATATATATGTATATATATATAGTTGCTCATATTTGTTCCCCATTTGCTTGTCCTCACTCTGGTTCTACTTTCTTGTCACATATATGTATATCTGTGTCACATATATGTATATTTATATATACACTTATATATGTATGTATACTTGTATAAGTAATTTGTATTTGTATAGATAAAAATTCTTCATGTGAGAAAAAACATGGAATATTTTGACAAAAATAACTCTTAAGTTCTAGCAAGTCACTCAATAATAATGGTGTATTGTGACAAAATTTATATTATGTTTAATCTCTTTATAGAAAGAATGCAATTGTCATCAACAATTATAACTCAAAGACAAAAAAAAATGAAAAAAGAACCAAATTGTTCTCTGTTGCTGGGATAGTTTTGGCCGTGGTTAAATGAGAAGGGTTGATGGATTTCAATTTCATGATAGTCCTTGGGTTCTACAGTAAATAATTAATCTTTCTGATGAAATGCTGCCATGTTTAATAATTCTGTCCTTGTCTTTCACTGTAGCTCTGGGTCTTAGGGCCTTTTGATCCTTAGATTAGGCTTCAGCAAATGTTCTTTATGCTTGCAGACAGACGTCTTTCATCGGAGGCGGGATTAACTGGGCTTAGCAAGCTTCCAAAATTTGGACTCCAGATTCTCATCATCTGTTCCAATCTTTCTCCATGTATTAGAAGGAGGTGGAATATAGGAAATGTGGTGATTCCTTTGATGTATTATTTTGTTAAAAACCCGAGAAGGTGGGGAGGGACGCTGCAAAGGTTTTTAAAGCCTCGGAATCTGAAACAAATGCCTGACTCTGGAAGGAAGCAGAAATATTTGCATGTGTGAAGAGAGGGAGTCAAAGAAGATGTCCTAAGAAATAGTATCTTTACCAATAAATCACAAATACTCCTGGCTCTATGAGATTCATCGTTTCCATATATTCCCTCAGAACAGAGTTGGAAAGGGGAAGAAGTAAGGGAAAATAAACTCCACAGAGTTGGCTGTGCAAAAGTGTTGTAGGCTCCTCCGGCATCTAACAATCCTCCCAATCTATCTTTCTTCCTTTTGTTTTATTCTCTCCATCAGGTATCTCCCTGTCTAACTAGGCAGCTAAGTTATAATAGTACTAAGCTATTAGCTTATGGAGACAAAGTCTAATAGGACAACCTGGAACTCTCTATGTAGCCCAGGTTGGCCGTGAACTCATAATTTTCTTGCCTTAGCCTCCAGAATGATGGGATTACAGGCTGTTGTCTTTACTCCCACTAAATCATTGGTGATACAAGTTTAGTGAATACGATACAGTACTGTACTAGTACAATACAATGCAATGTTTCACAGCTCTTGCCTTTTAGAGAAAACCAAATCTAGGTTTTATGGTTAAGGGATGCTGTTAAAACCTCCAGCATCCTGTTATTTTCAAATGTTGCCATCCATTAGCATCATTATTAATTACATAGTATGATGACAGGGTACATGTATGCATATGTACATGTGGGCACACACACATGCACACATGGGCACACACATGGGCATCAACATACACAAGACAGCTAGACAAAGAATATGGTGGTCCAAAGACAACAGCAACTAGACGTTAACAGCATTCTGGGTTCCGTGCAGCACCCAAACTATGACAAGGATGAAAGTGGCCATCAACCAGGCTCTGAGAGACGCCACTTCCTCCTGGAGCTGGAGGACTCCATTAGAGCCTGACATCCAGCTGGCCTCAGCTAATCCCAGCAATAAAGATGGAGGTAAGTTACAATAAGGACCCTCGTCACCACGCATCTTTCCCCCAAAGTTTCCAGACTAATACTGTGTCATGGCACATGCATCTCCATGAAGTATAAAGGATCCGAGGCCTCTGTGCTGGATGAGGGAGTCTTGTGCAGGAAGGCAGGATCAATTACCTCTTAAATTGACTCTCCCCGCCATCACTCCTGTTGGCTCATTTTCTCCAGCATAAAATGCTTCTAGATACTCTGAATCTTGTTCTATTTTCTAGCTCTAATTCCCTTCAGTTCTTTTTGAATAGACAAAATTAACACACAGCCGTGTGTACATAAAGAAACGGAAGGCAATTGGAATCCCCATGCCGAACTGTCTTTACATTTTTACATTCCATTTTTATTTCCCCATCTTTCTTGTCTTTGCTAAGTCACATAAGTTTTATTTTAACTGGTTGCAAAGCGAAATAACTATTCTACAAAATCTACAGATCACACTGTTTCTTTACCCATCACATGTTAGGGGCAATCAGGTCAATCTCATGTAAAAGTGCTACATCAGCCAGCTACATGAAAATGTGCACAGGGCACATCTGTAAATGAGGTACCAGAGATAGTTGCTCTAGTAACAAACCTCAAAGGAAGGCAGTGACAAAATACAACTAGGGCCAGGTGTAGCTCGAGGTAAAGTGATTGCCTAGCATGTATACTGGAAGGCCTCTGTTTGATCCCTAACTCTGCCGAGAGAGAGAGAGAGAGAGAGAGAGAGAGAGAGAGAGAGAGAGAGAGAGAGGGGGAGAGAGAGAGAGGGAGGGAGGGAGAGAGGGAAGGAGAAAGAAAAGGAGGGAGGGAGGGAGAGTGGAAGGAAGGAAGGAAGGAAGGAAAGAAGGAAGGAAGGAAAGAAGGAAGGAAATTTATTATATCCTGATTCAAACAAGCCAATCTTTTGAAATGATGGTTTTATATGTAATATGAATTAAGTAATAATTATTAGGGGCATAATGGTATAGTGCTTGACTAAATAAAAATTTATCAGACTATTTCTAGGCAAAAAATTGATGTACTAAAAAGAGTACTTTTAGAGACACTGATGGAATAAGACTAGAAAAGTGTGATACTTGGTATGAAACCTTTATGATTGACACATAGAAATTCACTCTCCCACCTAGGCACGGAGTCTCCCTGTACAGTCAGAGTGCACAGGAGGCTGAATTGCCATGAGTTGAGACCAGGCTAACCTACAGAGCAAGTTCAGGCTGGCCTGAGCTGCGCAGTGACTCTGTCCAAAACAAGCAAACAACCGAAAAGCATTCACTGTACAGTGTTTGACTATAACAAAAATCAAACTTAAAATGAGAAAAAAATAAATGATTAATTCCCAGTAGCTGAACTCTGCCGGACACGCATCATCAGTTCTGAAAGTCTGGAGGTGACTATTTGATCAATGGCTAGGAGATTCCCGGCCATTCAGTCAGCAGTTCTTGGCGAATACAGCAGAAAATTCAGCATCTGATAGAACGGAGTATTTCTTGAAGATGATTTTGACATTTGACTTAGCTCCAAAATAATGCTAACGTATCAAATAAAATAAATTCTAAATGGAATTTAAATTCTACACGTCAGAACATGTGCTGTTCTGTGTGTCTGGGGCTCTGAATGGGTCAACATGTGAGAAACAGACTGTCTACAATATAGGACTCCTGTTCAGCAACAGAGGATGCATAATATTTTTTTTCATTTATTTTCCATGCTGACTACAGTTTCCCCTGCCTCCCCCATTGCCTCCCATCTACCCCTTCCCCATCATAACTTCCTCTGTCTCCATTCAGAAAGGGACAGTCTTCCCACGGGCTTGAGAAAAGCATGGCACATCAAGTTGAGGTAGGACAAAGCTCTTCCCCTTGTGTCAAGGCTGGGCCAGGTAATCCAGCATGGGAAACAGGGTCCCAAAAGCCAGCTAAGCACCAGGGACAGGTCCTACTCTCAATGCTAGGAGCCTTACAAACAGACCAAGATACACAACCTACACAACCGTCACAGCATGCAAAGGGTCTAGGTCAGTCCTACGAAGGCTCCCTAACTGTTGGGTCAGAGTCCATGAGCTCCCACAAGTAAAGGTTAACTGTCTCTGTGGGTTTACCCATCATGACCTTAACCCCCATCCACCCCCACTCATATAATCCCTACTCCCTCTTATCAACCGCACTCCCTGACTACAGTCCAGTGCTTGGCTGTGGATCACTACATCTGCTTCCATCAGTTATTAGATGAAGGCTCTCCTGTGATAAGTGGAATAGTCACCAATCTGATTATAGTAGATGGTCATTTCGGGCACCCTCTCCACTATTGTTAGGAGTCTTAGATGGAGTCATTCTTGTGGATTCCTGGGAGGTTTCCTGGCACGAGGTCTTCCCTAACCTGGAAATGCCCCTTCCATCAAGACGTCTCTCCCGCTCTGTCCCTCTCCCAACCTGGCTCTGGTGCCTCAAGTTCCCATCCTCCGTTGTCACCCACCCCCACCCCTAGTTTACCCGGAGATCTCTTCTCATTCCCCTATCCAGGCAAATCCGTGCATCCTTCGTTGGGCCCTCCTTGTTGTTTAACTTATCTGGGACTGTGGATAGTAGGTTGGTTATCCGACACTTTACTCCTAATACCTGCTTATGAGTACATACCATGTTTATCTTTCTGGGTCTGGGTTACCACACTCAGAATGATTTTTTTCTAGCTCCATCCATTTAATGCCTTCAATTTTCATGAGGTCATTGATTTTTGCATTTATACAATGTTTTCCTTTTTCATTCTTTGGTTGAGGGACATCTAGGTCGTTTTCAAGTTCTGACTATTACAAACAATGCTGCTGTGAACTTAGCTGAACAAGTGTCCTTGTGGTGTGATTGAGAATCCTTTGGGTATATGACCAAGATTGGTATAACTGGGTCTTGAAGTAGATTGATTCCTAATTTTCTGAGAAACTACCATGTTGATTTCCAAAGCGGCTATGTAAGTTTGCACTCCCATGAGCAACAGAGGAGTGTTCTCCTTACTCCACATCCTCTCCAACATAAGCTGTCATCAGTGTTTTTGATCTTAACAATTCTGACAGGTGTAAGATTGGTATCTCAAAGTCATTTTGATTTGCATTTCCCTAATGACTAAGGATGTTGAACAATTCTTAAAGTTTCTCTCAGCCATTTGAGATCCTCCTGTTGAGAATTCTCTGTTTATATCTGTACCCCATTTCTTAATTGGATTATTAAATTGTATTTGGTATTTTGATGTCTAGTTTTTTGAGTTCTTTATATATTTTGGAGATTAGCCCTCAGATGTGAGGTTGGTAAAGATCTTTTTCCTTCCTGTAGGCTGCTGTTTTGTCTTATTCACATGTCCTTTGCCTTAGAGAAGCTTTTCAGTTTTCAGAGGTCCCATTTATTAATTGTTGCTCTCAGTGCCAGTGCTATTGGTTTTATATTCAGGAAACATTCTCCTATGCCAATGCATTCAAAGCTATTGCCCACTTTATCTTCTATCAGGTTCAGTGTAACTGAATTTATATTGAGGTTTTGATCCACATGGACTTGAGTTTTGTGCATGGCAATAGAGACAGATCTATTTGCATTCTTCCACATGCTTCCATCCGGTTATATCAGCACTATTTGTTGAAGATTTTTTTTCCACTGTATAATTTTGGCTTCTTTGTCAAAAATCAGGTGTTAATAGGTGTGTGAATTAATGTCAGGGCCTTTGATTGGATCCCACACCTGTTTTTATGCCAATACTAGGATGTATAACCCTTAACAATTTTCCAAAAAACCCAAATAACTGTTTATTAAACACTTATGCTAGTGAGTTTTTATTGGCAACTTGATACAACCTAGAGTCCTGTGGGAACTGATTAGATAAGACTGTGGCATTGTCTCCGACAGATTCCCTTGGTTAATGACTGATGTGGGAGGACCCAGCCCACTGTGGGTGGAGCCATCCCTAGGCCTCTGGAGAGTATGAGCCTGTGGGTAGGCTAGTAGGCAGCGGCTGCCCCTTGACTCTTTAGCTATTCATAAACAAGGTCTTTTTTGATACAGTAACAGGGGAAAAAAATACAGTAACTTTCAGATTCCCTCATGGGACACAGGCTGACTGGGTAAGACTGTGCACCCCCACCCCCACCCCCACCCCCTAAAGTGAAGAAGTCAATTACATCCCAGTGCAGGTTGTCATCCGTCTGCATTTGGCTTCTGGGTTGTACTAATCGAGTTATTTTTTACTCAAGCGATTTACAGGAAAACATACACTTTTGGGTTGATCCTTTCTTGCTTTCTGAGGAGCCTGAGCCTTGGTGACAAGAACATCATCTTGGGAAAACGGGAGTTTTAATTGCCTGGTATCCATATTAAAAAATAGAAATTAAATCCATTTTCATAATGTAGTTTATTAATCCACCACCTCACAAGTGTAGTTCCCCAGTAACAGTAACACAAAATGGCTTTAACAAAATAATTGGCTGTTCTTTCTTTTTTGGTCACGTTCAAGCTTCGAAATTTGATGTGGATTTTAAACTTATAGAGCAGCTTAATTTGAGAGCTATAATTTTATTGAAATACTTAATCTTTTCCTAAATTGTATAATATTGATCCCAATAGGTCTAGAAGTAGAGTTATATATCCTGGTTGCTCTGATGTGAGTTCTTCAACAATTTAAGTGAGAATCATTTTTTTGAATATAAATGGAAATATATTAGTTAAATTCTGGGTCCCTGGGTCTCACTAGCTTGCAGTTCCAGGACTGGGAGCCATGTGCCGTTGGTGACTGCCATCTGGGACGTCTCAGACGGTGCTGTGGTTTTTGTGGCGATGAGAAGGAAGTTTGACTAACACAAGTTTATACTGCATATTTTTAAAGGGGAAAATGGGAAAATGAAACTATTTCAGACTTATCTGCCAGGAAACAGCTAGATACGACAATCATTCTTATGTAATGCCACCGCAGGTAAAGGGCACAAAGACTTCCCGCTGTGTCTGGTATTTACCATTGCCGTTTTAGTTTTGAAATGTCATCATTTTGCATATGAAATATTTGCTTTCGAATAAACCCAATTTATGGTTGCTTCTTTCAAAGGTACAAAAAAAAAATGTCCAAGTAAATAACCCTGAAGCCTCTGGCTCTGTTTACTAGCTTGAAACTCTGGGCTTATTTCAGGCTATAAACCCAACACAGATGACTTTAGCTGTGGGTGTCTCACTAAGTACAACCCCAGTGACATTCAGATGCGGTTTGCCAACTGCAATTCCTTCCATCCCACCTCACATTATAAAATCAAGTCCTTTGTATGCCCAGCCCCCACGCTGTTGGTGCTGTTTTAACATCCCTCGTGTATCTCTGTTCACTTAGTTCAGCTTCTAACTAGAACTTTATACCGTTCTGCTCGGGTCTCCGGGAACTTCCAACACTACTGAGTTACAGACCTGGCACACTAACTGCCTACAGCATGGGCACAAGAGTTAAACATTTATGCATCGTGTAGAATGAACCTGCGTTTGTCCAAGGATGCTCCACGCTCTGTTCTAGCCCATCACCCCAACACTACCTCCAAGCAGTTGTTTTCCCATATAATAGACAGAGCAGCCACGTGCCCACGGGGACCATGAGGCTGCAGTAGACACAGAGGCCATGTGCCTCCAGGAGCCATGAGAGTACAGTATACATAGAGGCCGTGCACCCGCGCCGCGGGGCATGAGACTGCAGGAGACAGACGGGCCATGCACCTGCATGAACCGTGAGACTACCGCAGTAGACCTAGAGGCCATGCACCCACAGGGACCATGAGGCTATTGTTTGGATCTCAGACTCCAGTCTCCCTTCCTTCACCACCCTGGACTGTCTTCTTTAATAATTTTGGCAAATGTCTTGATGGCACAGCCTACAGATCCCTTATTTCTTCAAAATGACATTTCATTTGCAGCCATTGGTGTCATTGCAGGAAACATAAGCAGATCTCATCTACCCGGATTGTCCGAAGAGGACACAGAGGCTTGAAGTCCAGCTTCCTCCTAGCTCACGTTAGCGTGCCCAGGCCAACAGCTGAGCCACCAGTCACGTGAGCAGCCATCTCACCGCCAGACTACCTCGAACTTGCTCTTTCCTCAGTTTAGGAATCGCATTCTGGGACCCAGATACAGAAGGAACGCCTTGCCCTCTCACCCTCAGGCTGGTCTGTAGCTGCCTTGAATTGAAATCCTATTGAAGGTCACCCTCTCGCAAGAGCTTACGTGTCTCAGAAACAAGAAAAGATGTGCAATTATGTGTCCTCTGATTAATAGTGAGGAGACCGACAGCCGGGATTCAGAACAAGTAGTGACTTCACAGACAGAATCTGATCTCACAGTTCAGGGCAGTGCTTCTCAGCCTTCCTCATGCTGTGACCCTTATCACCCTTAATTTTTGCAGAAAATTATATTTGTTGCTACTTCATAACCACAGTTTTGCTACTGTTATGAATGGTAATGCAAATACATCTTTTCCGATGGTTTTAGGTAATCCCCAGGAATGGATTGTTTGACCCCAAAGGGGGGTCACAACCCACCGGTTGAGAACCCTGGTTTAGACTCAACAGAGCACAGCAATAGCTGCTGGAGGGTGGAGACTGCGAATGCAAAACTCCTCCTCACTCCATAGAAATAAAGGACAGACGGGGTGAGCAAATAAAGGTTTCATTATGGTTTAATACGAGGAGTCGCGTGGATAGGACTGGGAGATTTGCAATTGTCTAGAACTCTTAAGTCAAGGGAAATAAGACCAGCGAAAGTAATAATAAAACTGGGACAAGGGAGGAGCAGAGGAATGGCAATTTTCTGAGTTCAAAGTTATTCCTAACGAATAAGGTAGGCGTGCCTAGAGCTGGGAAGGTGAATGGCAGAAGAAAATGGTAGCCAAGGAACTGTGCAGGGTGACTTGCGTCATTGACAGAAGCTTCTCCTCTCAGCCTTGCTCTACTAGGCTGGCCTCTTGCCAGAAAGACACTGAAAAGACAGATAATAATGACTGCCCTTTCCAAGGATATGTGTGTCCTGCTAGGATATGATCTATAAATGCTGTAGATGTACTCTCCTCCCTTGTCCTAATTTATTATTACTTCCACTGCTCTCTGATAGTGAGATTTTTAATTTTCATTATTGTTATTATTGTTTCACGTATAGCTTCCATTTTGTTTTTCCAAGGTGTCCTTATGAAGCCACGTTTTCACACGGGCTTTGGGGGGGGGGGTCACAGCAGAGCTCCGGCAGGTCTAAATCCTGGTGGGGTGGTTTGCTCTTTCAGGGCTTCATGAGATCAATTCCTGACTCTTGCTATGAATAGCACAGCTCACACAGGAGCACAGCTTGACATAGAGCTACCTTGAAGCTATGTGTATACGTGTGTATGTAGTGGGTACCTACATTCAAGCGCAGATACTCATGGAGCTCAGGAAAAGGCTTCTGGTCCTCTGGAGATGGAGTACCACGTGGTTGTGAGATGCCCCACATGCGTGCTGGGAACAGAACTCAGGCTCTTGACAAAAGCAGCAAGCACTCTCCACTACGGAGCCACCTCTCTAGGCCTGACATTCAGATTTCTAATATGGTTTGCAAGCTGTTCCATAGACAACAACCTCCACATAATATGAGCAGTTGAAGAACATGGAGGCTCTGTTTGCGTGATGGCATATCAGGTAAATCAGCCCAAATACACGTCTCCACAGGCACGTGTAACCATGAGAATCAGTACATGCAATGGAACAGCCCAATGGCAATCTGTCAGAGTAGCCAAATCCTGCTGGGGAGTGGCAAACCCGGCGTTCTGAGACACTAGATGGACTCGGTAAAGCAACACGTAGCTGAGTGGGTGATGATCTTATTGAGAGGTGAGTTTTTTATATGTTGATCAGTAAAGTATACAGTTGAAATACAGTTTTAATATTATATGTTTCATGTCATTTTCCTTGCTTAATTCCACATATAAATTATGATATGTGTTATGCTTTATGTGTCCATAAGTTCTCATTGTATTATTATTATTATTATTATTATTATTTCACGTGTGCATATGTATATATGCAGACAGAAGAAAGTAGAAAAGATATGCATTGAGGCCATACTTTCTAATGACTTAAATGATTATATTAGCCCTGCTCTGTGACATGGAGATTCAAATTTTCATATGGGACAATTTATTTTCTGCCCTGTAAGAGTCTATAAATATGCCTTGCAATGTGACCTGCTTCCAGTAATTTCTCTCCAAGTCTGTGTATCTGGAGAGAGAACATTATCAAGCTAGCTGACACTCCGAATAGGATCAGCCACCCCCAAGTTCACTAAAGTAAGGTTAGGAAATATATATACGTTCACACACCTAATGCAGGGAAACAACCAAGAACTAACGTAGGAAAAAGCCAAGAGGTGTGTAGTCTACAGATCAAACTCTTTTTTTTATTAATTTATAAAAATTTCCACTTCCTCCCCTCCTCCCAATACCCTCCCAC